TCAGAGTGAAAGTCCCGGGTCCGCACCCCCTATTGCGAGTGCGGGAGAGGCAGGGAGACGGTGGAGCACTTGGTGGTTTGGTGCCCCGACCCGCCGTTACAAAGGCCGTGGGACGGCAGAGAGATTCGGTCACATCGGGACCTTACAAACCGTATTACGGGGAGTAGGTGCGCGGAGCAGAAGATTTGTTAGGAAGGTCCTTGGCTGGCTGATGGACTCTGGCCGGCTACTGGAGTACAAGGCTGGCCAGAAGGCTGGAGCTAGAAACAGTGGATGGGGAGGGCTAGAGGGCCCGGAGGCCGGCAAAGGGCCTCCTTTCTTTTGCAGTATGACGGATTCATAGATTGTTGACTCAAAGTGGTAGACAGAGGTTTTTATCCTGGCCTATACGGTACGGTTTCTCTTTGTAAATAGCAGTAGAAGGACTCGGCGCGCCCACGGGCATATCGGTGTAGGAAATAATAAATAAATATTTGCACTCAGTTATACTACTATTAAGAAGAGACGACCTGGTTAGGGCTGTGTGATTTTGACGTGCGATTATGACACCTGATTACCCCTATTATCCCAGGTAAAAGGAAAAGGGGTTTTCCAAGAGTATGCCTCCGTCTTGGGTTCTTTGCTCAACAGCCCGAAAGACTGTAAAGGGTGTCCGGGCAATCTTTCCGAAGGAGTTATACAAGTTGGCCTAGTGAATATTGCATCGCATCTTGGTCTGGGCCAAAAGTCCTTCCCTCCATCGCTTCTGCGAATTCTCCTTCCATCCAATGACACACTGAGGCTGGCCCAAGAGCTTGCACCCCTCCTCCTCTCATCACATATACTCTCCAACGCATTTCATACCGTTGCAACCCTGTGGCGGCTCAGTTCCAGTTGGCTTGGCTGCCGCCCATCAGGCAATACTGGCCCATCCGCACCAATATTGTCGTGCCCTTGAACAGCTGACGACGAGTTGGGGTCCAAATATTCAAAGCCAGCACTTGTTGGTTTAGAGTTGCATTGGGATGGGAACCCCGGGGTTAGTCCGTCACAACACCAACTTTCCGTTTCCTAACTTCAATAGCGCTGACCACCACGTGCAGATCAACAACGTTCCTGGACTGTTTAGACATTTTCTCACAGGAACTGTGGCCCATGACCGAGCTCTTCGCGACGTACAAGTCCGAGCTGACCATACTGGGGCTAACAATTTAAATATAAGTTTATAACAACGCTGATGAAAACATGCATCATGTTACTACTTATGAGCAGACATATCTTTCAACCCATGAGTCGAAACCCGACCCCAGCCGTCGGAATGGCGGGAGTAGGAGCCTGGGGAAACGGAACTCCGACATGTGCCGACTGGGCACTGAGCCACACGCCCACGCAAGTCTGGTCGTTCTGCTGACCTGATTGGGCATGCGCCGCCCCATTGTCAGCTCCATGGGAATTACAGAAATAATTGAAAATTCGTTTCTGAGTGGTCACACCAGCTAGGCGAGGGAGGCGAGCCGGCCGCCGTTTCCGCATCCTGCAACCCATGTCCAGCTTCAGGTTCAGCCCCGTACGTATTGCCCTGCAAGGCACCCGAGGACAGCTGAGAACAGGCCGCCCAATACTTCCAGGGCGGACACGGTCCGCGTGACTAACACGCCTAGTATTTCCGAATAGAGAAAACGACCTGGCAAGTGGGTGGTCTTCCGACCAGCTCAACGATATTCAGGGGAAGCAGACCGCAGGTAAGGCAGATAAACGCCCGACTATCACTCCACCAGTAACCGCAAATTCGTTTGCATGCAAATATCTCCATCCTGATTGACTGATAACGGGAAAGGGCCCGGTCAAGATCCGGGAGGGAGGGGGCCGTTGGCTGCAAGGCACATCTCCCACCCCCCCTTCCTGTGAACCTATGGAGGTGCTTTGCAACCCTCACCGAGCATAATATGCGTCATCATGAAGATTCCACGCCTCAAAATGTCCGCAAATGTGCAACCACACCCAAGGACCGCGAAAGGGGAACGGGAGGACAAGTGTCAGCCAGCGACTAGCCACTTCGGGCGAGCGTCAGCAGGCATCCCGATCGGCAAGCACAAGGACAACGAGGTACTAGCGAGTCCAAGTTTTGCACGAATATTTGTCACACACCATGAGAGTCAACCACCCGGCGCCTGCCCGGAGAAGAGGGTGTGTGGGATCAGGTAACCCGCGAGTCAGAGGTGCAGTGCCAGCGCTGACAACCACCCTCGGACTTGTGGCGGGTGAAGCGAGCACTACAAGTAGGGCAGGACTGAATCCTTCTGCCCACCAATGCGTTATTCTGTCTATTCGAGGGTGGTCTCAGATCTGGCAGAGCTCAGCAGGCTCGGACTCAAGTGATTATTGCGATATCTTAGTGATTGCACTCCACTAGCAGTCTAGCAGCTCTACCAACAGCTACGCCTTTTTGGGCGCCACCATCACGCCACTATCTCTCACCATCTGATTCCTACCGGAACAATGCCGACCATCTCAGACAGATACCCGGAGTATCAGGCCACGGCCCGCCTGGACGAGCTCCGGGCCACCGAGTACAGTTACCTCGACTCCCAAGGCCACGTGTACCTAGACTACACCGGGTCGGGGCTCGCCGCCTCGGCCCAGATTCGTCACCACAATGAACGGCTGTCCCAGAACCTCTACGGCAACCCACACTCGTCCAACCCTACGAGCGCGGCGGCCACCGAGGCCATGGACCGCACGCGGGCGCGGATCCTAGCGCACCTCAACGCGTCCCCGGACGAGTACACCGTCATCTTCACGGTCGACGACCACGGGGGGCCGCTCCGGCTCGTGGGCGATGGCCTACCCCCTT